AAATGGTTGTTAGAGTTTAACTCAACCATATGTAATGTAATGATAGGTGTAGGGAGCAGGGGGCCAAATACAAGGTATCATCTGGGAGAGGAAATTCTTCAGGAGTCAGAGAAAGAAAAAGACTTGGGAGTTGATATCACGCCAGATCTGTCTCCTGCAGCCCATATCAAGAGGATAACATCAGCGGCATATGCCAGGCTGGCCAACATACGAACGGCATTCAGAAACTTGTGTAAAGAGTCATTCAGAACTTTGTATACCACATATGTCAGGCCAATCCTGGAGTATGCAGCCCCAGCATGGAGTCGATATCTAGTCAAGCATAAAACTAAACTGGAAAAGGTTCAAAGGTTTGCCACCAGACTAGTACCCGAGCTGAGAGGTATGAGCTACGAGGAGAGACTACGGGAATTAAACCTCACTTTGCTGGAAGACAGAAGAATTAGGGGGGACATGATCACCACATTCAAGATTCTGAAGGGAATTGATAGGGTAGATAAAGACAGTCTATTTAACACAAGGGGCACACGCACAAGGGGACACAGTTAGAAACTGAGTGCCCAAATGAGCCACAGAGATATTAGAAAGAACTTTTTTAGTGTCAGAGTGGTTGACAAATGGAATGCATTAGGAAGTGATGTGGTAGAGGCTGACTCCATACACAGTTTCAAGTGTAGATATGACAGAGCCCGATAGGCTCAGGAATCTGTACACCTGTTGATTGACGGTTGAGAGGCGGGACCAAAGAGCCAGAGCTCAACCCCCGCAAACACAACTAGGTGAGTACACACACACACACACACACACTCACACTCACGTCCACATCCAGGAATGGATCCAGACTACTAAGATAGATTGGAAGAACAGAGACCCACATGGAGGACCAGATACATGGAGAGCTAAGCTGCTGGACGCGGCAATAAGAAACTTTCTAAGCCAACACATCAAGGGACCGACAAGAATGAGAGGGCAAGATGAACCAGCAATGCTTGATCTGATATTTACCCTAAATGAGTGGGATATAACGGAAGTTAAGATGGAAGCACCCTTAGGAATGAGTGATCATAGTGTGTTAATCTTTGAGTACCTGGTAGAGCTAGGATTTATCCTCCCCCAAAAAGAACTAGGAAACAAAAGACTGGCATACCGAAAGGGGAATTATGAGATGGGAAGTTTCCTAGGGGATATACCATGGAACACAGACCTCAGAGCTAAGTCTGAACAAGACATGATGGACTATGTCACCCAAAAGTGTCAGGAGGCAGTAAACAGGTTCATCCCGGCCCAAAAGGAAAAATCCGAGAAGCAAAAGAAGAATCCATGGTATAATAGGACATGTATGGTAGCAAAGGAACTGGACAAAAGGGCATGGAGGAACTTCCGGATTAACAGAACACCAGAAAGTAGAGAGAGATACCAGAGAACCAGGAACGAGTATGTTAGTGTAACGGGGGGTGGGGGAAATAGCTCTATCTTGTCCATTATTCCACCCCCCAGTTAACTAACGAGGCCGGGGGAAACAGCTCTCTCTAGTCCGTTATCCCGTCCCCAGTTAGCTAACTATTCTAGAGCTCCTCCAGAGTTCCTAAGGCAGCCTCTCTCGTTCAACACCTTGTAAACCTAGGTATTTGACTACCTAGGTGCTAAGACTACAAGGTGCCGTAACTGGATCAGCTACCCGGAACTCTAGAGAGAACTCTAGAATACAGATATCATTGCCACAAAACGTATAAGAGAAAACGAGAGGAAAGAAATGAATAGTGAAGTAATTAGTGAGGGTTCGGGGTGAGAGGTAGGGAGGTGGGAGGAGCGAGGAGGGTCATTAGTTGAAAGTGAGAGTTTAGAGAGGGGTGGAGGGAGAGGAATAGATAGGTAGAAGTAGAAGAGTAGATAGTAGAAGTAGAAGAATAGATAGTAGAAGTAGAAATGCTGCCACCATCCATTCATGATCATTACATACAAGACAAGGAATGGAACTTGCCTGTATCACAAAATTCTCAAAAGATGTTATCATGAGTTCATTATTAGTATGTTCCCTCTGTACCATGTACTCATTAAAATCAGGGAACCAGTAATCACCGAGGCTTTCTCACCTCAACTCAAAGCTCTAGGGAACAAAGACGATTTAAATAATAAGTTCATGTATTTCACATACTAAGTATCATAATATAAGCAATCCAATTAAAATGTTAAAGAGAGTCATCATCCAAGAATTCGAGAACCCTACAACTTGACTGCCCCTGATCATCACACAACATATGTAAACACGACCAAGTCACCTTACTGCTCAACTCACCAAGTGTCTCTGCCTATAGCTGGATAGAGGGGGGGGGGTCTGTAGTTGACAGAGACTCCCGCCCTGCCGGCCGACAGCCTCCTGCTAGGGCCGTCTCCTCTGCAATCCTGACTGCCGTTCTGTCTGTTAATGCTTTTTGCTCGATAGCTCTCCGAGTTTATATTGGGGAACCTAGTAGCTAACTCCGCCCACAAATAGATAGCCTCCGGCACTACCAAGCCACTCCTTAAACGTCGGCATGTTTGAAGGCTACCCGGCTCCAATTATACGCTTAGCGGAAGCAAGGTGAAATTCTCATGATCTGACCTCAGGTCACTTGGGGTCATTAACGCTTTGAGGTGTGAGATCTCAGGCAGACAACTGGCGCCTCTCAGATCCTTGTCTGTGACTCATGTACTCTATGTATGTATTAAACTAAACCAAACACTTTTACAGTGTTACATTAGTGTGAGAAGAGAAGCAGAGAAATATTATGAAAATTATATAGCAAACAAAGCCAAGACCGAACCAAAGCTACTACACAGTCACATCAGGAGGAAAACGACGATGAAAGAACAGGTAATGAAACTTAGAACGGGTGAGGACAGGTACACAGAGAATGACAAAGAGGTGTGTGAAAAACTCAACAAGAGGTTCCAGGAGGTCTTCACAATAGAACAAGGAGAGGTCACTGTGCTAGAAGAGGTGGCAGTAAACCAGGCGGCTTTGGAAGGGTTCGAAATTACGAAAGATGAGGTCAAGAGACACCTTGGTTCTGGATGTGAAAGTCTGTTAGCCCGGAGGGAATCTCACCTTGGGTATTGAAAGTGTGCAGAGGCACTTTGCTTGCCACTCTCCATAGTGTATAGTTGGTCACTGGAGACGGGAGACCTACCAGAAATATGGAAGACTGCTAATGTAGTCCCAATATACAAAAAGGGTGACAGACAAGAGGCACTGAACTACAGGCCAGTGTCCCTAGCTTACGTACCATGCAAGTTGATGGAAAAGATTGTGCGAAAAAAGCTAGTGGAACATCTAGGGCGAAGAAATTTTGTTACACAACATCAGCATGGGTTCAGGGATGGCAAGTCCTGCCTCACAGGATTGATTGAATTCTACGACCAGGCAACAAAAATCGGGCAAGAAAGAGAGGGGTGGGTAGACGTCATATTTTTGGATTGTCAGAAAGCCTTTGACACAGTACCACACAAGAGGCTAGTGAAAAAGCTGGAGATGCAGGCAGGAGTGAAGGGAAGGTACTCCACTGGATAAAGGAGTACCTAAGCAACAAAAGACAACGATTCACTGTGAGAGGTGAGGTCTCAGATTGGCGAGGCGTCACCAGTGGAGTCCCGCAGGGCTCGGTGTTCGAGACTATACTGTTTCTGATATATGTAAGTGATCTTCCAGAGGGTATAGACTCGTTCTTCTCATGTTTGCTGATGATGCAAAAATTATGAGGAGGATTAAGACAGAGGAAGATAGTATGAGGCTACAAGATGACCTAGACAAACTGAATGAATGGTCTAACAAATGGCTACTAGAGTTCAACCCGAGTAAATGTAAGGTAATGAAACTAGGCAGTGGAAACGGGAGGCCGGACACAGGATACAGAATAGGAGATGAAGTACTTCATGAAACGGACAGAGAGAAAGATCTAGGAGTTGATATCACACCAAACCTGTCTCCTGAAGCCCACATAAAGAGAATAACGTCTGCGGCATATGCGAGGCTGGCTAACATCAGAACAGCGTTCAGGAACCTGTGTAAGGAATCATTCAGAACCTTGTATGCCACATATGTAAGACCAATCCTGGAGTATGCGGCCCCAGCATGGAGCCCGTACCTTGTCAAGCACAAGACGAAGCTGGAAAAAGTTCAGATGTATGCCACTAGACTAGTCCCAGAACTAAGAGGCATGAGTTAGGAGGAAATGCTGCGGGAAATGCACCTCATTAGAAGACAGAAGAGTAAGGGGAGACATGATCACTAACTACAATATTCTCAGAGGAATTTTTCCTCCTCTTCACTAGTCCTATGAATACTCCGCATACCAAGAGTCCTATGGAAAATCCCCACACACAAGACGTCCTGTGAATATTTCTCACACCACTAATTTTATGAATAAATCTCGCACTAGTCATGTGAATACTCCTTACGCCCCTAGTCCTATGAATGCCCAGGCCACTAGTCCTATGAATGCCCAGGCCACTAGTCCTGTGAATGCCCAGGCCACTAGTCCTATGAATGCCCAGGCCACTAGTCCTGTGAATGCCCAGGCCACTAGTCCTGTGAATGCCCAGGCCACTAGTCCTGTGAATGCCCAGGCCACTAGTCCTGTGAATGCCCAGGCCACTAGTCCTGTGAATGCCCAGGCCACTAGTCCTGTGAATGCCCAGGCCACTAGTCCTGTGAATGCCCAGGCCACTAGTCATGTGAATGCCCAGGCCACTAGTCATGTGAATGCCCAGGCCACTAGTCCTATGAATGCCCAGGCCAGTAGTCCTGTGAATGCCCAGGCCACTAGTCCTGTGAATGCCCAGGCCACTAGTCCTATGAATGCCCAGGCCACTAGTCCTATGAATGCCCAGGCCACTAGTCATGTGAATGCCCAGGCCACTAGTCCTATGAATGCCCAGGCCACTAGTCCTGTGAATGCCCAGGCCACTAGTCCTATGAATGCCCAGGCCACTAGTCCTGTGAATGCCAGGCCACTAGTCCTATGAATGCCCAGGCCACTAGTCCTATGAATGCCCAGGCCACTAGTCCTGTGAATGCCCAGGCCACTAGTCCTATGTATGCCCAGGCCACTAGTCCTATGAATGCCCAGGCCACTAGTCCTATGAATGCCCAGGCCACTAGTCCTGTGAATGCCCAGGCCACTAGTCCTATGAATGCCCAGGCCACTAGTCCTGTGAATGCCCAGGCCACTAGTCCTGTGAATGCCCAGGCCACTAGTCCTGTGAATGCCCAGGCCACTAGTCCTATGAATGCCCAGGCCACTAGTCCTGTGAATGCCCAGGCCACTAGTCCTATGAATGCCCAGGCCACTAGTCCTATGAATGCCCAGGCCACTAGTCCTGTGAATGCCCAGGCCACTAGTCCTGTGAATGCCCAGGCCACTAGTCCTGTGAATGCCCAGGCCACTAGTCCTGTGAATGCCCAGGCCACTAGTCCTGTGAATGCCCAGGCCACTAGTCCTGTGAATGCCCAGGCCACTAGTCCTATGAATGCCCAGGCCACTAGTCCTGTGAATGCCCAGGCCACTAGTCCTGTGAATGCCCAGGCCACTAGTCCTGTGAATGCCCAGGCCACTAGTCCTGTGAATGCCCAGGCCACTAGTCCTGTGAATGCCCAGGCCACTAGTCCTGTGAATGCCCAGGCGACTAGTCCTGTGAATGCCCAGGCCACTAGTCCTGTGAATGCCCAGGCCACTAGTCCTGTGAATGCCCAGGCCACTAGTCCTGTGAATACTCCATAGGATTGCCTGGACCGTCTGAATTCGCAAATAGAATCCATCTATTTTTTTCTCCAGTGAATTCGAACTCGAAAAAGAGGAAGGAGGGGGGAGGGGGCAGGGGAGGGGGAAGATGATAGGACTCTGGAAGTTCCTCACGTCTGCTTTTCAGCCTCTGATAACTTCATTTGTCGCCCATTTGGACTGGAAGCTGCGTTTTGATTGGCTGAGCTGGTCGCTGTAGGGATGTGGTGGAAAGGGACCTCATTGACCCCAATAAGAGGAGGAATTTCCGTCCTCTGATAGTACTAAGTCATTGACGAAACATGTACATCTTTCCATATGTCTTCACATGAAGGATGGAAACTCAATGTATTCTAAAATACAATCGATTATAAACGCAAAATTCATCGTATAAACCGTCACTTCACAATCTTAATCGGTAAAGAGGGAGGAATGGAAATTCTTGTGTCTTGATTGGGCGCCTCCGCGTTAGGATTCACCCAATCAGCGTGAAGCAATACTGGCACCCGTTGTTAATGATAGGGAAGTCGTTGTGGTGTTATAATTACCCCAGTTCAACGACTATGTCCCTTCATCATCAACGAAACCTGTTCATCTGTACACAGTCATGGCGGCTGTGTTTACATCTGATGATGACGCTAACAATGATGAGTCTCGGAGCACAACCAGGCTGGTTATAACAATATTATCCTCGGGTTGTGAAGTTTAACAACTCGTAAACCGGTTCAATCAAGGTAAACAAGGTTGTTAAATGATGGATAGTTTACCTGAGTGGACGACCTAGTGCTTGGTAAACTCTGCTCTACATCTTGTCTGTGTTGGTCGTGGGAGAGCTCTCGGGGAATTATTTGGGCATTGATGCCCTCGAGATGCACCTAAATTGATGCACTCAATATGCCCTTAAACTTAAGCACTCAAGAAGCCTTTGCACACATACTAAGGGTCGACAGGGGTATTCAGGAGCACATGCTCGACCCTCCAAACACAATTAGGTGAGCACACACACACACACACACACACACACACACACACACACACACACACACACACACACACACAACACACTTAAGGGGCCTCGTAGCCTGGTGGATAGCGCGCAGGATTCGTAATTCTGTGGCGCGGGTTCGATTCCCGCACGAGGCAGAAACAAATGGGCAAAGTTTCTTTCACCCTGAATGCCCCTGTTACCTAGCAGTAAATAGGTACCTGGGAGTTAGTCAGCTGTCACGGGCTGCTTCCTGGGGTGTGTGTGTGTGGTGTGGGGAAAAAAAATAGTAGTTAGTAAACAGTTGATTGACAGTTGAGAGGCGGGCCGAAAGAGCAAAGCTCAACCCCCGTAAAAACACAACACAACTAGTAAACACACACACACACATACACACACACATCGTTGATTGACGGTTGAGAGGCGGGACCAAAGAGCCAGAGCTCAACCCCCGCAAACACAACTAGGTGAGTACTAGGTGAGTACACACACACACACACACACACACACACACACACACACACACACACACACGCAGCAACAGAGTGCGTATCGACCAGAATAGGTTTCCAATACCCCAGAAGCGAAGATGACCTTAAATTCATTGCTCCTCAGGGCGTTAATATCCGGGCGCCTCTCCTCCCACTTTCTATGCCACAGTTCTTTTGTCGCTAAGGACCAAACTTGCCCAAAATATCATCGACCTGAGTGTGATTTTATCATGTATATTTTTTTTCATATATTCTGAAAATATTCATATTTTTTTCATATATTCTGCCCGAAACGCTTTGCGTAATAGTGGCTTTAGGCATTGTATGTACTAGCTCTGTCTATAACTCCATCAATGTTTGTATCACACCATGTATGTACTTTATCTGACTAAATATTTGCATTTTTGTGTGGGACAAGAAGTGCACTGTATCAATTGATGATTTCATGAGTGATGAATATACATGGTGTATATATATATATATATATATATATATATATATATATATATATATATATATATATATATATATAACGAAATTGTGTGTTTGTATATATACACAGTAACACACAATTGAATGCACTCTTGCATACTTGTACATATATATATATATATATATATATATATATATATATATATATATATATATATAATCTATTCATCAGTGTTGAGGTCAACAAGCTTGATGGAACATCTATTTGATGAATTATCTATTTGGTGCTCTATAAACATCACTTCAATTTGATCAACTCGAGCTGATAATTGAGAGATAATACCATAACTTAAGTTGGAATTAACGAAGCCAGATTAACTACCAGACAAGTCCTAAACTGACCTCATTACAGCCCAACTACCATTATCTACCATCATTATCTACCATCATTATCTACCATCATTATCTACCATCTGATGCGAGCTGACATAGAAAAGTTACTCTGACCTCCAAATAGTCCCTGACTGACCATCAAATTGTCCCTAACTGACCACCAAATAGTCCCTAACTGACCACCAAATTGTCCCTAACTGACCACCAAATTGTCCCTGACTGACCACCAAATTGTCCCTAACTGACCACCAAATAGTCCCTGACTGACCACCAAATTGTCCCTAACTGACCACCAAATTGTCCCTGACTGACCACCAAATTGTCCCTAACTGACCCCCAAATAGTCCCTAACTGACCACGAAATAGTCCCTAACTGACCACCAAATTGTCCCTAACTGACCATCAAATTGTCCCTAACTGACCATCAAATTGTCCCTAACTGACCACCAAATAGTCCCTAACTGACCACCAAATAGTCCCTAACTGACCACGAAATAGTCCCTAACTGACCACGAAATTGTCCCTAACTGACCACCAAATAGTCCCTGACTGACCACCAAATTGTCCCTAACTGACCACCAAATAGTCCCTGACTGACCACCAAATAGTCCCTAACTGACCACCAAATAGTCCCTAACTGACCATCAAATAGTCCCTAACTGACCACCAAATAGTCCCTAACTGACCACCAAATTGTCCCTGACTGACCACCAAATTGTCCCTAACTGACCACCAAATAGTCCCTGACTGACCACCAAATTGTCCCTAACTGACCACCAAATTGTCCCTGACTGACCACCAAATTGTCCCTAACTGACCACCAAATTGTCCCTAACTGACCACCAAATAGTCCCTAACTGACCACCAAATAGTCCCTAACTGACCACCAAATTGTCCCTAACTGACCATCAAATTGTCCCTAACTGACCACCAAATAGTCCCTAACTGACCACGAAATAGTCCCTAACTGACCACGAAATAGTCCCTAACTGACCACGAAATAGTCCCTGACTGACCACCAAATTGTCCCTAACTGACCACCAAATAGTCCCTGACTGACCACCAAATTGTCCCTAACTGACCACCAAATAGTCCCTGACTGACCACCAAATTGTCCCTAACTGACCACGAAATAGTCCCTGACTGACCACCAAATTGTCCCTAACTGACCACCAAATTGTCCCTAACTGACCACCAAATAGTCCCTGACTGACCACGAAATAGTCCTGCCCGCAACCCTCGCCTGTGACTAAACGATCAACTATGATAACTGGCGATTACCTTCATCTCGATCATTAACTGCACCGCTTCCTAAACATCTCGAAAGATTCAGCTTCGTCTTTTTACATGTATCATCACACCCCCTTTATCCCACTATATCCAAACCCACACACACACACACACACACACATTAAATCCTCAGGGGAATCGACCGGGTAAACAAGGACGAACTTTTCAACACTGGTGGGACGCGAACAAGGGGACACAGGTGGAAGCTGAGTACCCAAATGAGCCACAGAGACGTTAGAAAGAACTTTTTCAGTGTCAGAGTAGTTAGCAAATGGAATGCATTAGGAAGTGATGTGGTGGAGGCTGACTCCATTCACAGTTTCAAATGTAGATATGATAGAGCCCAATAGGCTCAGGAATCTGTACACCAGTTGATTGACGGTTGAGAGGCGGGACCAAGAGCCAGAGCTCAACCCCCGCAAGCACAATTAGGTGAGTACAATTAGGTGAGTACACACACACACACACACACACACACACACACACACACACACACACACACACACACACACACACACACACACACACACACTCACTCTCTCTCTCTCTCTCTCTCTCTCTCTCTCTCTCTCTCTCTCTCTCTCTCTCTCTCTCTCTCTCTCTCTCTCTCTCTCTCTCTCTCTCTCTCTCTCTTATCCTATCCAAGTGCACAGTACACAGCATCTCACTAGTATATACCCCTCAGCCCCTTCCGCGTCGTGCTCAATGCACTAGGGGAGGGGGAAGGTCTCACACTAGGGGGTAAGTGTCTGGGATTAAGGCAGCGTCTGGGAATGCTCTCGGACGCAGGTTCGAATCGTCGTCACGGCCCCTTGTGGATTTGTTCGTAAGTGCACTCCTGGTGTTCACTCTAGTGTGTTCCAAGGAACACACTAGAGTGAGAGAACACATCAGGGTTACGTTTATCCCATGTTGTTGTTGTTTAAGATTCGCTACTTGAAACAAAAAAGCAGCACGGGCTATGGTGAGCCCGTAGAGCGTTTATCCCAGTGTGAGAACCCCGCACGAACCGCACAAAAATGGAAGCATGTCGTTGTTTTACCCCTCACTGCTAGTGTCCTCTTCTCTCACCCGTCTCTCGCCTCCTCCCTCTCTCAACGCTCTCTTCTCTTCCTAATTCGTAAACTTTGCCCGCCCAACTTCCGCTGGGTCCTTCTCAGCCGTTATAATTAAGGAGAGTCGCCCTGGTCGGTCCTGCCCTTCAGATTACTTCAACTTTCTCTATAATGAAAATTAGGCAGGTCTCTTAGTGAAGAAACAAGACGTGAAGGAGGGAGAGAAATGGACAAAGAGAGAGAAGGATAGCGAGGGAGGGAGGCAGGTAGGGAGGCAGGTAGGGAGGGAGGCAGGTAGGGAGGGAGGCAGGTAGGGAGGGAGGCAGGTAGGGAGGGAGGCAGGTAGGGAGGGAGGCAGGTAGGGAGGGAGGCAGGTAGGGAGGGAGGCAGGTAGGGAGGGAGGCAGGTAGGGAGGGAGGCAGGTAGGGAGGGAGGCAGGTAGGGAGGGAGGCAGGTAGGGAGGGAGGCAGGTAGGGAGGGAGGCAGGTAGGGAGGGAGGCAGGTAGGGAGGGAGGCAGGTAGGGAGGGAGGCAGGTAGGGAGGGAGGCAGGTAGGGAGGGAGGCAGGTAGGGAGGCAGGTAGGGAGGGAGGCAGGTAGGGAGGGAGGCAGGTAGGGAGTGAGGCAGGTAGGGAGGGAGGCAGGTAGGGAGGGAGGCAGGTAGGGAGGGAGGCAGGTAGGGAGGGAGGCAGGTAGGGAGGGAGGCAGGTAGGGAGGGAGGCAGGTAGGGAGGGAGGCAGGTAGGGAGGGAGGCAAGTAGGGAGGGAGGCAGGTAGGGAGGGAGGCAGGTAGGGAGGGAGAAAGCTTAGAGTCTCTGTCTCTCCCTCTTTCATTCCTTCTAATTATGTATATATGATTTATATTGTATTTTCTTAAAGATAAAATAAATAACACCCACCCACCCTACCTTGAGGCTACCTTGAGGTGCTTCCGGGGCTTAGTGTCCCCGCGGCCCGGTCGTCGACCAGGCCTCCTGAGTCGTCGACCAGGCCTCCTGACCCTCCGCAACTGCTTGCAACAGCTGGTGGTGGTAGCGACAGTAGCATCAGCTGATTTAAGTAAATAAAAAAATGGGAGCTCATCAGCTGATTCACGTAAACATGACATAAGAGGAGAGCTCATCAGCTGATTTATGTAAACATGACATAAGAGGAGAGCTCATCAGCTGATTTATGTAAACATGACATAAGAGGAGAGCTCATCAGCTGATTTATGTAAACATGACATAAGAGGAGAGCTCATCAGCTGATTTATGTAAACATGACATAAGAGGAGAGCTCATCAGCTGATTTATGTAAACATGAGAGTAGAGGTGAGCCGGATGTGACACAGATGATGAGCATCTGTCATCTCCTGCATCTCCTGCTCCTGATGGTAAAGGGAGGCTGGATAGGAGAGGAGTAGTGTAAAGGGCTTTGTGTGTGTGTGTGTGTGTGTGTGTGTGTGTGTGTGTGGGTGTGTGTGTGTGTGTGTGTGTGTGTGTGTGTGTGTGTGTGTGTGTGTGTGTGTGTTCGGGCGAGCAATAGAAGCAACTTACATCTTACGTTTAAACAATATTTTTTTATTCCAAACAGTTTTACTCAACTGTTCTACAATACTATATTTTCGTTTTTATAAGTTTTTTATTGTAAATGTCCAAGGAATTACTAATATTTGTTATGTTATTGTCTATACATGTTATGTGTAAGTATATACGGCAGTTAACACAAACGGGTGTGCACGAATCACGTGCTTAATACACACATACACACGTACGTATACACACACACACACACACACACACACACACACACACACACACACACACACACACACACACATACACACGGTGAATACACTTACGTAATCATAGAATATTATATAAACAGTTCAATATACATAAACATCTTCCTTTACATATGTGTTCCCTATTCAACATATACATATGTGTTCCCTATTCAACATATTCATATGTGTTCCCTATTCAACATATACAAATGTGTTCCCTATTCAACATATACATATGTGTTCCCTATTCAACATATACATATGTGTTCCCTATTCAACATATACATATGTGTTCCCTATTCAACATATACATATGTGTTCCCTATTCAACATATACAAATGTGTTCCCTATTCAACATATACATATGTGTTCCCTATTCAACATATACATATGTGTTCCCTATTCAACATATACATATGTGTTCCCTATTCAACATATACATATGTGTTCCCTATTCAACATATACATATGTGTTCCCTATTCAACATATACACATGTGTTCCCTATTCAACATATACATATGTGTTCCCTATTCAACAAATGACCTTTTTATCCTTTTCAGACTGATGGACCCCCCTTCACAGACACAATACACCTCCCCCTCTTGGCTAAGTACGCGTCTCATCATTGTGTAAAAACTGTTTTTTGCTAAGCACTTGTCTGCCAGCCATGTTGTCCAACTGACAAAGCAGTTTGTGTGTGTTTTTATGAAAGCCTCAATGATTTTTAAGTTAAGGAGATTGTGTGTTTGTGTGTGTGTGTGTGTGTGTGTGTGTGTGTGTGTGTGTGTGTGTGTGTGTGTGTATGTGTGTGGTGAGTTTCATTCAACCGTCAATCAACTGGTGTACAGGTTCCTGAGCCTACTGGGCTCTATCAAATCTACATTTGAAACTGTGTATGGGGTCAGCCTCCACCACATCACTTCCTAATGCATTTCACCTGTTAACTACTCTGACAATAACAAAATTCTTTCTAATGTCTCTGTGACTCATTTGGGTACTAAGTTTTCATCTGTGTCCCCTTGTTAGCGTTCCACCCGTGCTAAAGAGTTTGTCTTTGTCCACCCTGCCAATTCCCCTGAGAATTTTGTAGGTGGTTATCATGTCACCCTTTACACTTCTGTTTTCCCAGGGACGTGAGGTTTAACTCCTTTAGCCTTTCCTCGTAGTTCATAACTCTCAGTTCTGGGACTAGTCTGATGGCATACCTCTGAATCTTCTCTAACTTTGTCTTGTGTTTAACTAGGAATGGACTCCAAGCTGGAGCTGCATGTTTCAGGTTTGGTCTGACATAAGTGGTATACAGGGTCCTGAACGCTTCCTTACACAAGTTTCTAAAGGCAATTCTTATGTTGGCCAACCTAGCATATGCCGCTGATGATATCCTTTTGATGTGGGTCTCTGGGGACAGGTTCGGTGTGATTTCAACCCCCAGATCTTTTTCTCTAATTGACTTTTGCAGGATTTCCCCTCACAGATGATACCTTGTGTTCAGCCTCCTGCTCCCTTCGCCTAATTTCATCTCCTTCAGGGAGCCAGTCGGCCGAACGGACAGCACGCTGGACTTGTGATCCTGTGGTCCTGGGTTCGATCCCAGGCGCCGGCGAGAAACAATGGGCAGAGTTTCTTTCACCCTATGCCCCTGTTACCTAGCAGTAAATTAGGTACCTGGGTGTTAGTCAGCTGTCACGGGCTGCTTCCTGGGGATGGAAGCCTGGTCGAGGACCGGGCCGCGGGGACACTAAAAAGCCCCGAAATCATCTCAAGATAACCTCAAGATAACCTTACACTTTCCTGAGTTGAACTTTAGCAGCCGTTTTCTAGACCATTCCTCCAGTTTGTCCAGATCATCCTGTAGTCTCTGTCTATCTTCATCTGTCTTGATTCTTCTCATAACTTTTGCATCATCAGCAAACATTGAGAGGAATGAGTCTATACCCTCTGGAAGATCGTTCACATATATTAGAAACAGGATGGGTCCAAGTACAGAGCCCTGTGGGACTCCGCTGGTGACATCTCGCCACTCTGATGTCTCCCCCCCCCCCCCTGCAATTACTCGCTGTTTCCTGTTGCTCAGATACTCCCTTATCCATTGGAGCACCTTACCTTTTACCTGCCTGTTTCTCTAACTTTTGTAACAGCCTTTTATGTGGTACTGTGTCAAAGGCTTTCTGACAGTCCAAGAAAATGCAGTGTGCCCACCCTTCTCTTTCCTGCCTAATTTTTGTTGCTAGATCATAGAATTCTATTAAACCTGTGAGACACGATTTACCATCTCTAAACCCATGTTGGTGGTGTGTTACAAAGCTATTTCCCTCCATATGCTCTACGAGCCTTTTCCTCACGATCTTCTCCATCACCTTGCATGGTATACAAGTTAGGGAAACGGGCCTGTAGTTCAGTGCCTCTTGCCTGTCACCCTTTTTGTATATTGGAACTACATTAGCCATGTTCCAACTTTCCGGTAGGTCTCCTGTTTCTAGTGACCTGTTATACACCATAGAGAGAGGCACCATTAGTGCTTCTGCTCCTTCTTTTAGTATCCATGGTGAGATTCTGTCAGGCTCAATAGCCTTTGTCACATTCAGCTCCAACAGATTCCTTTTGACCTTATCACTGGTGAGGTCAAATTCCACCAAGGCTGCTTGATTTGCCTTCTCCTCTCTTAGTACAGGGACATCTCCTTGCTCTATTGTGAAGACCTCCTATAGCACCTAGTTGTACTCACCTAGTTGTGTGGGGGTTGAGCTCTGGCTCTTTGGTCCCGCCTTTCAACTGTCAATCAACTGGTGTACAGGTTCCTGAGCCTATTGGGCTCTATCATATCTACACTTGAAACTGTGTATGGAGTCAGCCTCCACCACATCACTGCCTAATGCATTCCATTTGTCTACTACTCTGACACTGAAAAAAAATCTTTCTCGCGTCTCTATGGCTCATTTGGGCACTCAATTTCCACCTGTGTTCCCTAGTGCGTGTGCCCCTTCTGGTAAATAGTCTGTCTTTATCTACCCTATCAATTCCTCTGAGAATCTTGTATGTGGTGATCATGTCCCCTCTAACTCTTCTGTCTCCCAACGACGTGAGGTATAATTCTCGTAGCTCATACCTCTCAGCTCGGGTACTAGTCTGGTGGCAATCCTTTGAACCTTTTCCAATTTAGTCTTATGCTTAACTAGATATGGACTCCGTGCTGGAGCTGCATACTCCAGGATTGGTCTGACATATGTGGTATAGAAAGTTCTGAAAGATTCCTTACACAAGTTTCTAAAGGCCGTTCTTATGTTGGCCAACCTAGCATATGCCGCTGATGTTATCCTCTTGATATGGGCTTCAGGGGACAGGTCTGGTGTGATATCAACCCCCAGGTCTTTCTCTCTGATCCTAGAAGAATTTCATCTCCTTAATGATACCTTGTATCTGGTCTCCTTCTCCCTACACCTATCTTCATTACATTACATTTGCTTGGGTTAATCCTTAATCGTTAAATCATAATGTCTTAATGCTTCTCATAATTTTGACGTCGTCAGCAAACATTGAGAGGAATGAGTCTATACCCTCTGGGAGATCATTTACGTATATCAGAAACAGGATAGGTCCGAGTACAGAGCCCTGTGGGACTCCACTGGTGACTTCACGCCATTCTGAGGTCTCACCCCTCACTGTAACTCTCTGCTTTCTATTGCTTAGGTACTCCCTTATCTACTGGAGCGCCCTACCAGTTACTCCTGCCTGTTTCTCCAGCTTATGCATCAGCCTGTTATTGGGTACTGTGTCAAAGGTTGACACAGTACCCCACTTTTTATGGGGTGCTGTGAGTGTGTGTGTGTGTGTGTGTGTGTGTGTGTGTGTGTGTGTGTGTGTGTGTGTGTGTGTGTGTGTGTGTGTGTGTGTGTGTGTGTGATCTCATCAACGATATTGACTGTCTTCAGTTCCACCTGTTATCATTGAGAAATTTAAGTTATCAATTAGTTATCATAGAGTAAAGTAACTTATGACTAACGAAGTTGATTGGGTACAGAGGAATGTATTTGTGTATGGAGGGATATATTTGTGTATGGAGGGATGTATTTGTGTATGGAGGGATGTATTTGTGTATGGAGGGATGTATTTGTGTATGGAGGGGTGTATTTGTGTATGGAGGGATGTATTTGTGTATGGAGGGATGTATTTGTGTATGGAGGGGTGTATTTGTGTATGGAGGGATGTATTTGTGTATGGAGGGATGTATTTGTGTATGGAGGGATGTATTTGTGTATGGAGGGATGTATTTGTGTATGGAGGGGTGTATTTGTGTATGGAGGGATATATTTGTGTATGGAGGGGTGTATTTGTGTATGGAGGGATATATTTGTGTATGGAGGGGTGTATTTGTGTATGGAGGGATGTATTTGTGTATGGAGGGATGTATTTGTGTATGGAGGGGTGTATTTGTGTATGGAGGGATGTATTTGTGTATGGAGGGATGTATTTGTGTATGGAGGGATGTATTTGTGTATGGAGGGATGTATTTGTGTATGGAGGGATGTATTTGTGTATGGAGGGGTGTATTTGTGTATGGAGGGATGTATTTGTGTATGGAGGGATGTATTTGTGTATGGAGGGATGTATTTGTGTATGGAGGGGTGTATTTGTGTATGGAGGGATGTATTGTGTATGGAGGGATGTATTTGTGTATGGAGGGATGTATTTGTGTATGGAGGGATGTATTTGTGTATGGAGGGATGTATTTGTGTATGGAGGGATGTATTTGTGTATGGAGGGATGTATTTGTGTATGGAGGGATGTATTTGTGTATGGAGGGGTGTATTTGTGTATGGAGGGATGTATTTGTGTATGGAGGGATGTATTTGTGTATGGAGGGATGTATTTGTGTATGGAGGGATGTATTTGTGTATGGAGGGATGTATTTGTGTATGGAGGGATGTATTTGTGTATTCGGTGAGGTATAAACGGGATAAAAACAAAAACTATTGTGCTTTAAACTCTTACAATTAACCATTGTATTAACGAGAAAATAAAACGTCTGCCAATGTTTCTAGGACGCTAACGAGGCAATTGTTTGTGGTTTGTTGCTTATTCTAACAAACATTGTTAGCAAACTATTAAGTCTAATCACTTGTATCCATCCATAACTTATAAAAAAAAAGAATTAGAGAGGCTGGTTGGTTTAAATGATCTCATATGTAACAATTATATCAATTTGATTATTTAACATCTAACTGTTCTCCTTAACAACGACCTCATTCAACTCTCCTCCTTGAACAAACAACAGATTGTCCATCTATTACAAGCAATCTTAATCCATCTTTCCATCCCCCCCCCTTAAACACCCACAACTAACAACTCTCCCTAACAACCCCGAGAGACAACCTGTATTCCTCCACCTCTAACAAACCAACTAACCATTCCGGAAGCGCTAACGAGGCTTTTGTGTGGCGAACAGCCCGCGGGAGTCGGGTGGTCGGAGCCATGCTGGGCGCCGTCAAGGAGTGGCTCAACGGGTGCCGGGAGTCACGCAAGTTGATCCTCGTGATTGTGGCTATCGCCCTCCTCCTTGACAACATGCTCCTCACCACTGTAGGTACGTGGCCACCCCCGTCGACCACTGTAGGTACGTGTCGACCACTGTAGGTAGGTGTCGACCCCTGTCACCGCTCATAACGTCACTTTTGGCTCGTATGCGCGCTATGGCCAAATTTGGACGTAATTTGAAATGAAATCGACTCACAAAAGTGACGTACTGTCCCGTTTTCTGTTTGAGCCGTCTGGCTTACTCGGACAGCTTAGAAAAGGTAACTTTCCATTAACGTTTTTCATAACGTTTTGAAACTTTATGAGAATTTCCTGCCCACCTAACCTACCAGAGGACCCTTAACTTATTGTTGTTGAAAAAAAATCCCAAATTTATTTTCATTTTCAAATTACGTCCACTTTCGGCCATACGGGCAAACGCGTCCAAAAGCGACGTTAATTTTATGTGTATAGGGTCCACTACCACTCACAGGATGGGTATAGGGTCCACTACCACTCACAGGATGGGTATAGGGTCCACTACCACTCACAGGATGGGTATAGGGTCCACTACCACTCACAGGATGGGTATAGGGTCCACTACCACTCACGGGATGGGTATAGGGTCCACTACCACTCACAGGATGGGTATAGGGTCCACTACCACTCACGGGATGGGTATAGGGTCCACTACCACTCACAGGATGGGTATAGGGTCCACTACCACTCACAGGATGGGTATAGGGTCCACTACCACTCACAGGATGGGTATAGGGTCCACTACCACTCACGGGATGGGTATAGGGTCCACTACCACTCACAGGATGGGTATAGGGTCCATTACCACTCACAGGATGGGTATAGGGTCCACTACCACTCACAGGATGGGTATAGGGTCCACTACCACTCACAGGATGGGTATAGGGTCCACTACCACTCACAGGATGGGTATAGGGTCCACTACCACTCACAGGATGGGTATAGGGTCCACTACCACTCACGGGATGGGTATAGGGTCCACTACCACTCACAGGATGGGTATAGGGTCCACTACCACTCACGGGATGGGTATAGGGTCCACTACCACTCACAGGATGGGTATAGGGTCCACTACCACTCACGGGATAGGTATAGGGTCCACTACCACTCACAGGATGGGTATGGAGATGCATTATAAATGAACCAGTCTCCATCTCACAATGTAATCTTGGTTCCTGGTGCTTGTCTTCCAGTGCCCATCATCCCTAAGTATCTGTACCAGTTGCGCCACCCCAACTCCACCGCCCCGGCTCCTATCGACACCAGCCCCAGCACCATCACAACCCCAACCACAACAACCCTCCCGCTCCAGCTCCGTGCACAGTATGGTAAGTTGTCACGCTAAGTCGTCGACTACTGCAACAAATCTCTGGTGATGGGCATTTACATTTATTTTCGCTCTGCCTCCGAAGATGCTGAAGAAAGCTTCAGCGAAACCGTCCCTTACAAGCACTCATCAGACTCAATTTTTATTGAGTCTGACGAGTGTCTCTTGGTCTATAAAAAATGGAATAATTTAAAAAGTATCTCAGGTGGTTAAGTCTCAAATGTGTCAATAAAGATATTTCTTCATTGGTCATTAGCTCATCTGCAGCTTCCTGTTGTTAATTCTTACGTTAATGAGCAATATTACAGATTAAGACATTGTTTTTCACCTCGTCATGTTCGTCTCTCCTGCCTATAGTTCCAAGTATTATATTGCATTGATTGTGCTTTTGATGATATGTTGAATAGATGATAACGCACTTTAACTTTACATTTTCCATTCGTGGTTATTACATGTTTACATTACCCATCCGTGTGTGTGTGACAGAAGGGTGTGCGCCGTGTAGGTGCGCGTGGGAAGGTGAGGGGGGCGCCGGCCCCCCCGAACCAGCACCAACGGAGCCCCCTACCACGACCCCCCGGTGCCCCCCGCCGCTGCCCCCTCTCCCAGACCACGGTGAGTCCTCTTCCACTCACCCACTTTTATAGTCCCTTCATTATCATTTTCCTCTCAATTCCTTACTGTTAAAAAATCCTCGTTAGTATTGATTGTACATTTACTCGTTCTCTATAAAATTACTGTAGTTATCCCTGAATATTTTTAACAAGTCTTACATCCAGGTACGCAGGAAAAATAAAGATATAAAACCATATAAGACTTAATTATATAAAATAATTCACTACGGGCTCACCATAGCCCGTGTTACTTGGAACTTTTTGTTCCAGGTAGCGAATCTTTAACAACAACAATTATATAAAATCGTTTTTAGCAATATACGGGTTAAGGTTTCCCCTTTTTCGGCGTTTATCGTGCTATATTTTCCCCCTTAATATTAATGGTTCTCTTATTAGTTTTTGTGACATTTTAATATGCTGCTGTGGTCTCGTCTCTTTGTCGCTGCATTGTTCACAGCTTCATTACTTCAGTGTTTTCAGGTCCCTTTGTGTCATGTCTTTCCCTGTGACATGTTCCTTTGTGTCATGTCTTTCCCTGTGACATGTCCCCCAGTGACGTGTCTCCCTGTGTCATGTCCTTCCCTGTGACATGTTTCTCAATGTCATGTCCTTCCCTGTGACATGTTTCTCAGTGTCATGTCCTTCCCTGTGACATGTTTCTCAGTGTCATGTCGTTCCCTGTGACATGTCTCCCAGTGTCATGTTCTTCCCCGTGACATGTCCCCCAGTGTCATGTCCTTCGCTGTGACATGTTTCTCAGTGTCATGTCCTTCCCCGTGACATGTTTCTCAGTGTCATGTTCTTCCCTGTGACATGTCCCCCAGTGTCATGTCCTTCCCTGTGACATGTCTCCCTGTGTCATGTCCTTCCCTGTGACATGTCTCCCTGTGTCATGTCCTTCCCTGTGACATGTCTCCCTGTGCCATGTCCTTCCCTGTGACATGTCTCCCTGTGCCATGTCCTTCCCTGTGACATGTCCCTCAGTGTCATGTCCTTGCCCGTGACATGTCCCCCAGTGTCATGTCCTTGCCCGTGACATGTCCGCCAGTGTCATGTCCTTGCCCGTGACATGTCCGTCAGTCTGCATTAGCCTGGTATAGGTCCGGTATTCAGTAATTAGATATTACTATACGAGTATTAAACACGATTGTTTGATTAAAAATTGTATTAGAGATTTTTTCAAAGCTATTTGTAATTAATTATTTTGGGGAATGTTAAAATTTGTGAACTTTAGTCCATTCAATATTATTATTATTATTTTTTCTATTTAATATTAAAAATAATATTTATTATTATTACAATCGGTATTATTTCATTAGTTTTCTCATTGTTTTTCCTTGTGTGAATTTTGATCTTTATCCAGCATACTTTTGAGTTTGCCACAATACTTAAAATATGTGTAAGATCAGCCATACTACCATACTTCACCACACTACCATACTTCGCCTATACTATCATATACCACCTCACCATACTACCACACCACCTCATTATACTACCACACCACCTCACCATACTCCCACACCACCTCACCATACTCCCACACCACCTCATTATACTACCACACCACCTCACCATACTACCACACCACCTCACCACACTACCACACCACCTCACCACACTACCACACCACCTCACCATACTCCCACACCACCTCACCATACTCCCACACCACCTCACCATACTCCCACACCACTTCACCATACTACCACACCACCTCACCATACTACCACACCACCTCACCATACTACCACACCACCTCACCATACTACCATACCACCTCACCATACTACCACACCACCTCACCACACTACCACACCACCTCACCATACTACCACACCACCTCACCATACTACCACACCACCTCACCACACTACCACACCACCTCACCACACTACACACCACCTCACCATACTCCCACACACCACCTCACCATACTACCACACCACCTCACCATACTCCCACACCACCTCACCATACTACCACACCACCTCACCATACTCCCACACTACCTCACCATACTACCACACCACCGTCACCACACTACCATACCCCCCTCACCACACTACCATACCCCCACCCCCTCACCACACTACCATACCCCCTCACCACACTATCACACCAGCCCACCACACTACCATACCCCCTCACCACACTACCACACCACACTACCACACCACACTACCACACACCACCTCACCACACTACCACACCCCTCACCACACTACCACACCACCTCACCACACTACCACACCACCTCACCACACTACCACACCACACTACCACACCACACTACAGGCATACTACCACACCACCTCACCACACCACCTCACCACACTACACACACCTCACCTCACCACACTACCACACCACCTCACCACACTACCACACCACCTCACCACACTACCACACCACCTCACCACACTACCACACCACCTTACCACACTCACCACACTACCACACCACCTCACCACACTACCACACAACCACACCACACTACCACACCACACTACCACACCACCTCACCACACTCACCACACTACCACACCACCTCACCACACTCACCACACTACCACACCACCTCACCACACTACCACACCACCTCACCACACTACCACACCACACTACCACACTACCACACCACCTCACCACACTACCGCACCACCTCACCACACTACCACACCACCTCACCACACTACCACACCACCTCACCACACTACCACACCACACTACAGGCACACTACCACACCACCTCACCACACTACCGCACCACCTCACCACACTCACCACACTACCCACACCACCTCACCACACTCACACACACTACCACACCCCTCACCACACTACCACACCACCTCACCACACTACCACACCCACACTACCACACTACCACACCACCTCACCACACTACCGCACCACCTCACCACACTACCACACCACCTCACCACACTACCCACACCACCTCACCACACTACCACACCACCTCACACACACTACCACACCACCTTACCACACTACCACACCACCTCACCACACTACCACACCCCCTCACCACACTACCACACCACCTCACCACACTACCACACCACCTTACCACACTACCACACCACCTCACCACACTACCACACTCCCTCACCACACTACCACACCACCTCACCACACTACCACACCCCCTCACCCACACTACCACAACACCTCACCACACTACCACACCACCTCACCATACTACCACACCACCGTCACCACACTACCACACCACCTCACCACACTACCACACCACCTCACCACACTACCACACCACCACACCACCACACCACCTCACCACACTACCACACCACCTCACCACACTACCACACCACCTCACCACACTACCACACCACCTCACCACACTACCACACCACCTCACCACACTACCACACCACCTCACCACACTACCTCACCACACTACCACACCACACTACCACACTACCACACCACCTCACCACACTACCATCCCCCCTCACCACACTACCACACCACACTACCACACTACCACACCACCTCACCACACTACCACACCACCTAACCACACTACCACACCACCTCACCACACTACCACACTACCTCACCACACTACCACACTACCTCACTACCTCACCACACTACCATACCACACTACCACACCACCTCACCACACTACCACACTACCACACCACCGTCACCACACTACCTCACCACACTAACCACACCACCGTCACCACACTACCACACCACCTCACCACACTACCACACTACCACACCACCGTCACCACACTACCACACCACCTCACCACACTACCATAACACCCTCACAGACCCGGGCCGGCCAGATCCTTCCATGGAATTCTTGAAGAACGGGACGTCGCCGGAGTCGCCTGTAGGAGAGGCAGCAGCAGTAGAAGCGACGAGGGACCCGAGGAAGTACACAGCCTCTGGCATGAGTCACGAAGACCTGGTCAACGAGAACGTGGAGGTGGGACTGTTGTTCTGCTCCAAGGCCGTGGTCCAGCTCCTCACTAACCCCTTCATCGGCCCTCTTACCCACAGGTCAGTTCACTCATGTGTCCCAACCACTTGGGCTGGACGGTAGAGCGACGGTCTCGCTTCATGCAGGTCGGCGTTCAAACCCCGACCGTCCAAGCGGTTGGGCACCATTTCTTCCCCCACATCCCATCCCAAATCCTTATCCTGACCCCTTCCCAGTGCTATATAGTCGTAATGGCTTGGCGCTTTCCCTATAAATTATTATTATTATTACTCATGTGTTACCTCAGGTTACGTCAGGTTGGCTGAACGACGAGACGTCAGATTAACGTCAGGTTCGTCGAGTAATGTTTTAATAACAGAGGATCAACGTTATCTACGTCAGTTCACGGTCACAACTCCGTCGCGGAGATTACAAACTGACTTCGTTAGTGAGAGTTCCTTCGTTCGAATCCGGAACAGGATTTTGACAATCTGTGTTCGGATCATTCACTCCATATGCCCCTGTGAGCTGTTCCCAACGACTTGACCTAATGTTCACTCTGAACAAGTTAGACATAAGGGTTATCATGTTGGAACACCCCCCTCCCCCCCCCCTATCCCAACCTGTCCTCTTGAAAAGAACGTCGCTTTTGGCCGTTTGCCCGTATGGCCGAATTTGGACGTAATTTGAAATTGAAAAAATATGAAATAAATTTGGGATTTTTTTTTCAACAACAGTAAGTTAAGGTCCTCTGATAGGTTAGGTGGGCAGGAATTCTCATAAAGTTTCAAAACTTATGAAAACGTTAATTTAAAGTGTCTTCTTATAACCTCTGCGCGTACGCCGGACGACTCAAATAGAAAACGGAACAGAACGTCACTTTTGTGAGTGGATTTCATTTCAAATTACGTCCAAATTTGGCCATAGTGCGCATACCAGCCAAAAGTGACGTTATTTTTAAGAGGACGGGTTGAGGAATGAGTGATCACAGTGTATTGACGGTGGAATATCTAGTGCAGGTAGGGATAACTTACTCAATTAGGGATCACGTAAGTAATTATCAGAAGAGGGCACTAAGTCAGGATGCAAAAATACCAAGCCAGAAAATTGCAAATACCATTGGTGAGAGAACTCCGAGTAACAGGCTGGAGGAGCCTTGCCGGACTACAGCATCCAGAAGAGTCTGGAAGCAGTAGACGACATTTGTCCAAGCCCAAAAGGAAAATAAAGAATGCAAAGGAGGAGCTGGTGGTTTAATTAGGGATGTAAGGTGACGAAGTAACTGAAGACAAGGGCGTGGAGAAACCCCGGGAATAACAGAACACCAGAGAGCAGCGGAAGGTACCAGAGAACCAGGAGTGGGTACTTCAGATTGAGAAGAGAAGCAGAGAGGCTGTCAAAAAATGAGAGGTAATGAAGCAAAGTTTTAACCTAAACTGCCTCCAGGCACATCAGCAGGAAGATAACAGTGGAAGAAAAGGTTATAATCCTTAGAAAAGGTTTAGATTTAAGAAAAGATTTTAGGGAGCCGGCGGCTGAGCGGATAGAGGCTAGAACACTGGATGCGTAATCCTGTGGCCTCGGGTTCGATCCCGGGCGCCGGCGAGAAACAATGGGCAGCGTTTCTTTCACCCTGATGGTCCTGTTACCTAGCAGTAAATAGGTACCTGGGAGTTAGTCAGCTGTCACGGTCTGCTTCCTGGGGGTGGAGGCCTAGTCGAGGACCGGGCCGCAGGGAGACTAAGGCCTGAAATCATCTCAAGATAAGGGGCGGAGATGCTCGCTGAGAATGACAAAAAGGTGTGTGTGAAACTCCACAAAAGATTTCAGGAATTGGTCACAATAGAGCAAGAAGTACCTGAACTAAGAGAGTGAGCATTAAACCAGGCATCACCAGGAGGAATTAGTGGTAAGGCAAGGCAAACATTTTATGGAACTGGACGCAATAAAGGCTGTTGGCCCATGCAGAATCTTACCATGGGTACTAAATGATGGAGCAGAAGTACTATTCTTGCCACTCTCTATTTGTACAACAGGTCACTGGTAACAGAACTACCAAAAAGTTGGAAGACGGCTAATGTAGTCCCAATATACAAGAAGGAAAACAGACCGGAGGCACTGGACTACAGGCCAGCGCCCATAACTTGCAGACCACGCAAGG